CTGCCTGCATGGAGCCTGCTTCTTCCTCTGCCTGTGTCTCTCTGTGTCTCTCATGAATAAATAAATAAAATCTTTAAAAAGTAAAAATTAAAGAAAAATAAATGGAAATGAAGACAGAACAAAAAGAGCTTCTGTAACTTAAAAACATCATCATTAAAATTTTAAAAATAAAAGCTTAGAAGACAAAATTAAGAAGATCCCCACCCACAAACTTTCCATCTCCAAACACAAAGATATAAACAAGAAGAAACATAGGTTAAGAGTATCTGAAGATCAATTCTAGGAGATATAGTAATCAAACCAATCAATGTCTCAGAAAGAAAAAACAAAAAACAAAGGGTAAGAAATTATCAAAGTAACAGATATTTTTTAAAACTAAAGAATATGAGTCTCTAGATCCAAAGGGCCTACTAAAACAAGATAAACAACAGGCAAGCAGGGATCCCTGGGTGGCGCAGCGGTTTGGCGCCTGCCTTTGGCCCAGGGCACGATCCTGGAGACCCGGGATCGAATCCCACATCGGGCTCCCGGTGCATGGAGCCTGCTTCTCCCTCTGCCCGTGTCTCTGCCTCTCTCTCTCTCTGTGACTATCATAAATAAATAAATAAATAAAATTTAAAAAAAAAAAAAAAAAAAACAACAGGCAAGCAGAAGAAAGGACCTACACAATATAAAATTACAGAATGCCAGGGGTGCCTAGGTAGCTCAGTTAGTTAAGCATCTGCCTTTGACTCAGGTTCAGGATCATGGGATCGAGTCCTGCTGGGTTCTCTGCTGAGTGGGGAGTTTGCTTCTCCCTCTTCCTCTGTGCCCTCTCTCTCAAATAAATAAATAAATTTTAAAAATCTTTTTAAAAATTCAGAATGCCAGAGAAAAAGACTCTGAGCTTCAATAAAAACAAAAATAAAAACAAAAGTCAGATGAGTTTGGATTTTTTATTTGAAACTCTTAAATCCAGGATGCCTGGGTAGCTTAGCAGTAGATTATCTGCCTTCAGCTCAGGGCGTGATCCCACAGTCCCAGGATCAAGTCCCACATCAGGCTCCCTGCATGGAGCCTACTTCTCCCTCTGCCTCCGCACATCCCCCCCCACCCCCGTGTGTCTTTCATGAATAAATAAATAAATAAAATCAAGAACGAAAAGAAAAGAAACCCTTAAATCCAGAAAAATTTTGCCATCAAAATTATGGGAAAAAATATTTTTTCAGCCTACTATTCTAAATGTTGGCAAATCATCTATAAGCATTTATAAATCATCCATAAAGTATCTAGGGTAGGGGCAGACACCTTCAGACTACAAGGCCTCAAATAATTTACCTCCAATGGATCCCTTTTTAGGAAGCTACTGAGGATACCCTTTAGCAAAATGAAGCAAACCAAGAAAAAGAAAGCAAGTGATCCAGGAAACAGGCTCCAAGGGAAGAGAGAAGGGAACAGAAATCACAGGAAAAACAATCCTACTGTCCAGACTGGAGCAAGAGGATGGAAGGCTCCCAAATAGGGAGTCTCTAAGAGGAACTGAGAGATGATTTGTGCTACCTAGAAAAAAAATATCAAAAGGCACTGAATAGATTTCTTGGGAGTATTTAAGGAATGCAGCCATAGATACATGAAAACTAATCAAAAGGTTGAAGGCAATTATTTGCTCCAGTGAAAACAAAAAAGTACAGGAAAAATCCCATAATCTGGCATCACTATTTAACTCAGAAGTGAGCAATACATATATACGCAATAATGTAAATACTGATTGTTAGGTAGCTATATTTAAGGGACTGGGCCAGAGAACAGGGCAAGTGCTGAATTATGATACTAGGAAATCAAATGCTTATTCTACATTAATTTCAAAATATGAAAGTAAAAAAAATGGGAAAATAAATGAATAGAACTAGTATGAGATGGTAGCTTCCACTGGAAAGTAGAACCTAGAGGATAAAAAGGCCAAGGGTAGGACACTGCTGTGTTTTATGTTAAGCCTTTTAGCACCATTTGATTTTTAAGCTGTGTGCATATATTAATTGGATTAAAACAACTTATTCTCATATCAAGTGTAATTAGTTCAATTTATAAAGCCGTCACTATCAAGTTCATTTATAACTTTCTTACTAGGAATTCCAAACTCATGGTCTTAGAAATATTTTTAAAATGATGATTAGTTTCTCAAGTCAGCTTTCAGAGGCATTTAACCCACAATGATACAGAAATATAGTACAAACTATTATTTCAAGTAGTCTTAAGCACCGTAAGAGTTTCTGTGAGAAACTGCAGTCTGAGAACTCAAGATGCCTGGTAGACATCTGAGTCCTACCCACTTGTTCTTCCCCAAACAGGAGCAGCCAAGAAATACTTTAAAGGTAGAGTAGATGAGGGAGATGCACCTGAATCTGGCAAGAAGGGGAGTCAAACAGACATACTGTAACAGGTCAACTCCCTCTGCATTAGAAAAAATACCACTGGAGGTCTCTCTTGCCCCAGAGGTTGATCAGTGAGGCACTCCTCCTTCCCCTCCTCCCAACAGCCTATTCCCGGCATAAACTGGATGCTCGTCAGTCAGGTGACAGATACATACACATTATTTCAAGTATTAATTAGTAATGACTTCTTTTCCACCACGCTGTAATAAAACTTCTATGTAAACAATATCTTCATTACAATTAATAAAACTTTGTGGCCTATGTCAACACTATGTTTAATTTTTTTTTTTAATGATTATGAATTGTGTGACCTTGAGAAAATCACATAAAGCCTCACTTTCTTCCAACTCTAAAATGGGAATAATGGAGTGGCTCAGCCGGTTAGGCGTCTGCCTTGGGCTCAGGTCAGGATCCTGCCTTCCTGGGGAGAAAGGCCGTGGCCTCATTGGACTCCCTGCTCAGAGGGGAGCCTACTTCTTCCTCTCCTTCTGCTGCTCCCCTTGCTGGTGCTTTCTCTCTGTGTGTCAAATAAATAAAATCTTTAAAAGAAAAAAAAATGTTTTTAATAAAATGGAAATAATGGTATCTACTTAACTGGGTCACAAGAAAATGAGAGGAAATGATGCGTATAAAACATGCAGGGGCTGGTAAATAGCAGGCACTCAATCAATGTCAGCCTGGTTGTTCCCAGCCCCTACCCCCACCTGGCAGGTTTCTTTTTTTTTTATTTATTTATCTATATCTATCTATCTATCTATCTATCTATCTATCTATTTATTTATTTTATGATAGTCAGAGAGAGAGAGAGAGGCAGAGACACAGGCAGAGGGAGAAGCAGGCTCCATGCACCGGGAGCCCGACGTGGGATTCGATCCCGGGTCTCCAGGAACGCACCCTGGGCCAAAGGCAGGCGCCAAACCGCTGCGCCACCCAGGGATCCCACCTGGCAGGTTTCTAACATGTACTCTTACATATGAACAAAGTCACAAATCATATACAAGCTTTTAACCAAAAAAACCTTTAAAAATCATGCAGAATGCATTAATATTTTTTAAATAATTGTGAGATACAAGTCTATCTGTGAGCATTCATTATCATTCCTAAACCTTAGTTTTATGTTCCGAGTACTAACCTAATTTCCAGTTTTAATTCATCTCAACAAAATTTAGCTAATTCAGCTATACGGAAAAGGGGACTAAGAGGGGCAAGACATTACAAAAACACAGCATTCTTCTTTGATTATAGACTAGAAACCCGTATATGTAACAACGTCTCAACAGACTGCTAAAAGCAACACCATTCAACACTGAATCAACTTCAAGAAAGTCTTCTAAACTTAAAAAATAAAGATAATGGGTGTTCAAAAAATAATAATAATAATAATAACAATTTCCCCTCCCATCACTCAGAGGAGGAGGAATAATATTTAGTGCCACAACATACAAAAGTCTAACACGCCAAGAATGTCTAGATACCCCTAACTACCAAAGACTTCCCATTTGGGGCCATTTTTATCAGACCTCCCTCTGAGGGCTCATTTCCAGAATCCAGTCTCAGTACAAGGACACCATTATTTCTCAAATTAATCCCCCAAACGACAAAGCTAATTAGGTGGAATGGAACAACCAACTGACCCAAAACTAAGTTCTCCTTTCCCTACAAGGAATTCAGAATATAAGGGTGGCCCACGGCCCAACATATCCAAGACAAGAAACCAAAAAGATAACTGAACGACGACGCTAACAGGTCTGCTACCCGGAGATCCACCCACGATCTAAAAAATAATGCTTATCTGTCACAAGGTTTGGAGACTGCCACCAACACGTAGTGTGTGTGCCCTTCCAACCTCTCGCTCCTCCCCAGCTCGTTTTTAAATTTTTTTTTTGTTTTATTTATTTATGATAGGCACACAGTGAGAGAGAGAGAGGCAGAGACATAGGCAGAGGGAGAAGCAGGCTCCATGCACCGGGAGCCCGACGTGGGATTCGATCCCGGGTCTCCAGGATCGTGCCCTGGGCCAAAGGCGGGCGCTAAACCGCTGCGCCACCCAGGGATCCCCCAGCTCGTTTTTAAAAAGTATGATAACGGGATCCCCGGGGGGCTCAGCGGCTGAGCGCCTGCCTTCGGCCCGGGGCCTGATCCTGGGGTCCTGGGATCGAATCCCGCGTCGGGCTCTCTGCGTGCAGCCTGCTTCTCCCTCTGCCTGTGTCTCTTCCTCTCTCTGCGTGTGTCTATCATGAATAAATAAATAAATAATACTTTAAAAAAAATAATAAAAGGTAAGATAACCAGAAAGTAAGAGCAACAGCATCGTTGGCCTGCACTGGGGCAAAGGGTTTGCAGGTTTGGTCCACGTAAAACCTGGAGATGCCCAGGACCCAGGGCCCTAGATGACAAGCCGGGGGGGGGGGGCGGGGGGGGGAGAAGCTGGCAGCTGCAGACGCTGGGCGCGGGGGCGCGGGGGCGCGGGGGCGCGGGGAAGGCGGATCGGCGTGGCCCCGGGCTCGGCGGCGGGTCCCCAGGGCGGCGGCGCCGGCTGCCGCACTGGGCCGCGGGCGGCCGGAAGCCCCGGGGTCGGGCCCCACTCACCGATGAGCCGGCGCACCTCGTCCTCGCTCAGGTAGACGCTCACGCTGGGCCCCGCGGCCGCGGGCGACAGCGCGGGAGGCCGCGGGGCCGGGGCGGCGGCGGCGCCGGGCGCGGGGAGCAGCGGCAGCAGCGCCAGCAGGAGCAGCAGCGGCAGCGGCGGCGGCGGCGGGGCCCTGAGGCCGCGGGTCCCCGGGAGGCGGCCCCGGCCCCGCCGCCCCTGCCGCGCCGCCCCGCGCATGGCCGCCGCCGCCGCCGCCGCCGCCGCCGCCGCCGAGGAGCGCTGGCCGCCCGCCGCGCCGCCGCCACCCACCCCCGGCCCCGAGCCCCTCACAGCTCCGAGCCGGGGGCGGCCGCCCAGCTCATCGCGCCGCCGGCCCGTGGCAGCCGCACGCCGCTTCAGACCGCCGCAGCGCGCCGCCGCCGCCGCCTCCTCCCCGGCGGCATCCTCCGCTGCACGGGGAGGGAGGGAGGGAGGGGAGGGGAGGGGAGGGGAGGGCGGGGGAGGGGGCGGCCCGGGGGCGCGTGCGTGCGCGCGCACGCCGCCCCCGAGAGCGCGCACGCACGCGCCGTCCGCTCGGGGCGGGCCGGGCGGGGCGGGGGCGGGCCGGGGCCGCGGGTTCGCAGCGGGGCGCTTTGATTTTCCGAGCGCTGCCGCGCGCGCTAGGGGCTCTCCGGGCACCCTCCGAAAGGAGCCGGTCCCCGCCCCACGTTGTCACCAACCTGATGTTTGCATGTCTATTGTCTGCAGCACCCCCGCTCCCGCGACACACAGTCCAGACAGGCAGGCCCGGGCCGCGGCTGCAGCCGAGCCGGCTCCCCAGGGGCCGAGGGTACTGCCTGCATGCAGCCGCTCCGGGAGCAAAAGGGAAACTATTTTTTCCTCTTTCTCTCTTTTTTATTTTTTATTTTATTTTTTTTTCAAAGATTTTATTTACTTATTCATGAGAAGCAGAGACACAGGCTGAGGGAGAAGCAGGCTCCATGCAAGGAGCCCGGTATGGGATCAGATCCCGGGCCTCCAGGGTCACGCCCCGGGCCAAAGGCAAGCACTAAACCGCTGAGCCACCCAAGGAATCCCCTCTTTCTTTTTTTAATATTTTATTTAAATTCAGTTTGCCGGGGCAGCCCGGGTGGCTCCGCTGTTTAACGCCGCCTTCAGCCCAGGGCGTGACCCTGGAGACCCGGGATCGAGTCCCACGTCGGGCTCCCTGCATGGAGCCTGCTTCTCCCTCTGCCTGTGTCTCTGCCTCTCATGAATAAATAAATAAAATCTTAAAAAAAATTTTTTCAGTTTGCCAAACCTGTTTCTTCTTACTGAGAAAATGGTGAAAAATAGAAAGCACCTTTGATCCCACCACCCGGGAGGTCAACATTAACCTTCCTGTGTCACTATCCCATGGATAGAATACTACGTGCACTTATTCTCCAAAAAGATCCTGCTCAGCAAAGCTTAGTAACCTTATCCTTACACGTTACGAATTTTTATTTCTTAAAACCGTTCTGCGTCCCCATCGTCAACCCTCATCCGGGGATGCGAACCTGTGGTGTGCAGAAGTGTGCGTCTGTTTTCGCGGTGCGCTTGGCCCGCACAGAGAAGTGCTGTCTACGTACGTTTCGATGTTCTAGCGAGTCCCAGCCCCTCGAAGGGGTTAAAAATCGGGGATACACCTAGGCTTTTCGGAAGGCTGCCCAACGAGCAGTGCGCGGAGCTCCAGGTCTCAGGGTGCATTTCTGCGAGCACCCACCATCGTGCTCAGACTTGCTCGAGGTGCCCCCTGTCTCGGTTGAGACTTCCAAGCGTCCCTGCCCGGCCCGGGTCACCTCGCCCCTGCGGGCACGCCCGCGCCCTGACCCCGGGTCGCCCGCCGGGCCCGCGCCTCACTGCGCAGCTGCTCGCGGGACAGGCCGGGTTTCCGCGTGCAGTTGCTGCTGCTGCAGGGAGGCCCCGGGAGGCGGCTATTTTTATCCTCTGGGGAGGGTGGGGGAAGAGAGAGAGGGGGACTGATGCAGCGGGAGGTCCTGGAACTTTGTCTCCTTCTCTACTAAAAGCGATCTGTTCCATTTAGAGAACGGCTAGCGTGGATTTGTCAAGCTTCAGCCCGGGAGTTGTGTCCATCATCCTACAGGAGGAGGCTGAGAAGACGGTGAGAGTGGAGAGTCTCTCATGCGCCACAAGAGAACGATAAAAACACAAAGGTCATCAAAAATCCTTATCTTGGGGCAGGTGCTGCTACCTCTTAGGGGACCGGGACTCTGTCGAGAAGAGCTTGGGGCTGGAAATGTGCTATGTGAACAGGGCCCTCAATTCGACAGGAGGCATTTTCTCAAAGGATGGCGTGTTTCCCACACTCTTCCAAATGGCTCACAGTCTCCAAACGAGGAAGCTCCTGTCTTCAAGGCAATCTCAAGAGACTTCTTGAAGTAGTCTGTGATGTAAACTCAGCAGAGCTGTCAGGCCTGGCCGGGCTGTGGTACTTGCTAATGGTGTGACCTTGAGTAAATTAAACTCCAGACCCTTGGATTCCTCATTTATAGAATAGGGTGATAATGCCAGACTCACAGGGCTGTCACAGGATTTACTGGGAGAAGATGTGATAAACCGCCCCCGCCCCCCGGGGCAGACACTGGACCCGGTGAGTGTTACACCCATTGCTATTGTTATTATAACGATCCCTTCCCTATAATGACCATTTCCTGAAAAGTTTAATCACCAGTTAGCTCAAACCGTTTAAACCAGAGATGCTCAAGAACTTTCAGTACAGCACCACGGCTGGCCCAGATCTGGGCCAATGCATCCGTGCCAGGCATCATGCTTGGCACTGGGACGCTGGGATAAGCAAGGTGCTTCCTTGAGGACATCTGATTAACACATTTATTGCACAGTTTTATCAGTGCGCTGAAGAAAAAGTTGGTGGTTCTCAAAGTATGATTCTCAGACCAGCAGTACTATCACCGGGTAACTTGTAGAAATGCAAATTCCTTGGCCCCACCCCAGACTAATCAACTGATAGTTATTACTGATACCCTAGTATCGACTTCATGAAATAGGAACACGGAAGTGGTATATATGTTTCATTATTTGTTCTAAAGAGTCCCTGTCCCCCAAAGAGCATTACAGGCCCTCCAGGTGATGCTGGCCACTCCGTCAAGAAAATCTCAGCTTCCACCACCTCTCCTTTGGGCTGTTGTAGTTACTGCCTCCCCGGCCTCTGTGCCTTCCCCTGACTCCTTTCTTTAGTCTGTTCTCATCGTAGCAGCCAGAACTATCCTATTATACAGAACCAGATCATGTTGCTACTTGGCTCTTAAGCTGCTAATGGTTTCCTAATTCATCTAGAATAAAAGACAAAGTCCTTACAAGCTATCAAGGCAGCTCTCACTCTCCATCTTCCTCCCTTCCCTTCTGATCCTATCTCTTTCCCCACCTCAATGACTTCATTGTTGTGCTTCCCATATACCAGACAATCCTACCTCAGGGCCTTTGCCCTGCTGTTCTCTGTACCTGGAATACTCGGAGTTGGGAATTCTGCTGCTCTGTGTACTCTAGTTTACTTTTTAAATGTTCTCCCTCCACAAGTAATATATTAACCTATTGTGTTGTGAAAGACTCAAGCAGCACAAAAGTATAAGGAATAAGAAATGAACATCCTCCTTGATAGAAATCATCATCTCCTCACCTCCCAGTTCTTTTTTTTTTTCTTTTTTCAAATTTTATTCATTTATTCATGAGAGACACAGAGACATAGGCAGAGGGAGAAGCAGGCTCCATGCAAGGAGCAAGGAGTTACTATTTTTCCTTTTGTGATTTATTTTAAAGTCTTTTTTTTTAAGATTGTATTTATTCATGAGAGACAGAGAGAGAGAGAGAGAGAGAGGCTGAGACATAGACAGAAGGAGAAGCAGGCTCCCCACAGCGAGCCTGATGCCGGATGTGATCCCAGGACCCCAGGATCAGGTCCTGAGCTGAAGGCAGACACCCAATCACGGAGCCACCCAGGCACCGCCCCCACTTGTGATTAATAAGAAATTTTGGGGGAGGGGCACCTTTGAGCTCCTTCAGCTCATCCCTATGTTCTTTTGATAGGTCTCTAGCATTCATTGAACATTTCCTTACTTTATGAAACAACAAAATATTCCTATCTTCTCTTGTACATTTTTGTCCCCGCCTGGAATCAGCCCTTTTTTCTTAGGACCCCCAGTTCCTTTTAGTGGAGAATGATATTTAGAAACCAAGATTTGGAAGATAGTGTGCTTAAAATTGCTAGTGTGATATAACTGATTTAGACCTTCTCAGGAGACAGAGTATGGAAATAAATATATTTATCTGTGTATATTCTGTGTATTTATATGCCTAATACACAGATCTATAAAATCCATAAGTACTAATACTCCTGATTCTAATCCTACACCATTCCTTCCTCATTACCTATTTGTAACTCTCTTCTCTGACAGTAAGAATCCTGAATCCATTATCCTCAGTGTATCCGCTTATTTGCTCAATCCTTCCATTGTTAAGCAAACTCTTGGCCTTGCTTGAAAGCTCAACCCCAGACAAAGCAATTTCCACCCCAACTCCCCATTCCCAGGTGGCCAGCCAAAACTTTGCCTCCAGGCAGAGTAAAGGGCAATGAGATTGAGGGCAGAATGGGAGAGTTTCTAGAGCATCACAGAACAGTCCAGATCTTGAGAGGATATATTAGATACCTCTTAATCTTTTGACAGCCCTACTCTACCACAGCCTAGTGTACCCCAGCCACTCACTGAGATAGTGAGCTGGAATCTTTGCACCCTCAAGGCTTTCCTCAATTTTCTTATCCTTTGTAGATGCCCTCCAAACCCTTAGTTCCAGTTTATTTCCTCTGCAGAGGAGTTTAGCTACCTCTGTTTTCTCTTCTCAACTGTTCACCTTCTGCATCCACTCAGGTGTTTTACCAAACAGAGCCCTGAGCTCAGGAGGAAACATGCATTAGGGGAAGAAGCAGCTGCAGGCAGTTATGATTTTAAATATTTCGCTTTCCTCACTCTTTGCTACAATTTTAATTATTACTGAAATATGCTTAAGAGAGATGTGACAATCAGACAGGCATGTTAGATGTATCATTTTATTTTTTTTTATTTTTAAAGATTTCTTATTTTTATTTATTCATGAGAGACACAGAGAGAAAGAGAGAGAGAGGCAGACAAAGGCAGAGGGAGAAGCAGGCTCCATGCAGGGAGCCTGACATGGGACTCAATCCC